GACGACTTCCAGCGCCCTCGGACACCACGCTGGGCCCCTCGCCGCTGGGAAGACCGGGACAGGGCAGGTGGCTTCCTTGTCCACTCTGTCACACGTCACTCTAGAAAATGCTTCTCCACGTTCCACAGCAGCATTCGAATGTGACACTCGCATCTGCCAATAGCATCTCTCTCTCCAACAAAAGGCCGTGGGCTGGAGGGGGTCTTTGCGAGAAACCCTGTTACCTGACATCGGCACCAGCAGTTACGGCCCTTCTCCTCGGAGCAGAAGGTTCGCACCTCGCAAGGAACCGGGTCGTCAGTGAGGCGTGCCCAAGAACCAGCCACGCGGTGGGGCGGGACAGACTATCCTAGCATGTCAGTGTCATGAATAAGCATCTCTACGTCGTGAGCATTTTGCTCTGGACGCCAGTGTACACACAAGGTGTGAGAATACGATCACTTCCTTCACACGGCACACAGGAACTAGGCACACAGCCCAAGGCTACAATTTCACTATTTCCTTCCCCACCTAAGCAAGATCAGGAGGAGAGCTGTTGCTGCAAACAGGGCCCGGAGAGAGCGAGGACCCCTCTCCGATCCACAGAGCAGCCCCTCCTCACTGCGCCGCCCGCCTTTTTCAGGCTTGTCTGCCGGTCGTCTGCCGTCCCTCCAAATACGTCCCGAGCGTGTCTCTGCCGATTCGTAATCTTCACATCAGAGGCTAAATCCAAGTAGGAAGCAGCATATTTGGCGACATGTCCTTAGGACAGTGGCTCTCCCACATCCCAGCAGGTACCGGCTGAAAATGTCATTTCACAAAGAAACTGCCGCACACAAGAGAGTAATCAGCAACTCTGCGGGTGGTTTCAGTTTCTCAGGAATAGTGTGACTCGTGTTCGTTTTCTTGTCATGAGAGGGGTGCTCTGAGTAATTGCCTCTGAGGTTTGACATTCTTCTTTGCCTTTAACAATCAAATTTATCAATTTCATACTGGACAGCCAAACACTTCATCCTGGAAAACATGACTTTTTTTGAAATTATGTCATTGGTTTACTAGAGAAATGACCCTTCACTGTTGGAAAATGACTTCATGCATCTACCAGACAAAATTTCATAACAGGAAAAGACATCAGGGACAAGGGACAAGCAGATGCCTGGTGCAAGGAAATTTATTTTTAAGACAGTATTTATTACTTTATATGTATGGCTAGTTGTGCAAAATCGCCACAACCACAGATTCCCCAGCAACACCCCCACACATTGACATTGACATTGACATTCACCGCTGGCTCCTGTCCAGTGGGCTTGTGACACTCTCGGACTCCTCCTGTTCAGGTTATTGTCACGTTTGCATCATATTTCAGTGAGCCACTTTGGAGCCATCGAGCCGTTTTAATTGGGGCTACATCACAACTGTATTAGTTTCCTATTGCTGCTAAAAAATTCTCACAAACTTAGCCGCTTCATACAACACAAAGTTATCTTCTTAAAGTCTCGGAGGCTGGAAGTCAAAAATGGATCGTATGGGGGTAGAGCCAGGTGTCAGCAGAGCTGTGCCCCGGACACCGTGGAGGAGAACCCTCCCCAGAGCCTTCCGGTTTCCGGGGCCGCCACGCTCCTGGCTGCTCGGTCAGCACAGCCCCTGCCCTGCCTCCCCTTACAGGGACACAATGTGGGATGATCCCCCCACCTCAAACCCCCAACTCCATCACGTCTGCAGAGCGTTTTGTCATGCAAGGTAACACAGCAAGTTCTGGAGACTACAGCGTGGACACCTGGGAGGAGCCACGATTCTGCCAGTCACAACATAATACAAACCATTTTAAAATGCGAGCATCAACAATAATTGGCAAATTGCACGATTATATGAAACCCAGGTGGGCTGTACTCTGTTACCGGGATGGCAGCCAGGAAAGCTAACACAGACTTGCTTTGTAGCACACGGGCGACCCTGAAGAACACGGTTGCTCAGACATGGCTTCCAGGAAGACCGTGACTTATCAAACATCCCGAATGTGTGAAACGTGTGTCATCGATGACGGTTCGCTGCTGTTCCTTATGAAGCTGCCAGGCCTCCTGCACGCTCCTGGATGCTGCCAGGGGCCCCCACGAGCTCGTGTGGAGAAGTGTCTGCAGGAGAAAATCTGGACCCCGCCAGCTGCGCGGCCCACACGCCCCAGGCTGCTCACGGCCGCGGCCCCCTCCCTCCCACGTGCCGCCCACCCACTCCCGCCATCCTCCCAGAATACCATGCTCTCCCTGGCCCACCCAAACACACCAACTCAGGCTTCCAGGGTCCACTGAGGCCATGTCACACGTGGTGGGTTGTCACAGAGCCTCTCCCTCCTTGTGCTGTGGCTGGAGTTCTGGGGCCCTCGTGGTCCGCCTGCAGGCGTTGAGGTGGCCCGCGTGCAGGGAGTGGCGTATGAAGAGGCCCAAGACAGCAGCAGCTGTGAAAACAGCTGGAGAGGAGGAAGCGGGGAGAAGCCGGGTAGCAGCTGCTCCGGTGGGCCCAGACACGAGAACGACCGGCACTGGTGTGTCTTCCTCCCCCCGCCGCAGAGGGCAGGAGAGGGGCAGCCGGGTGCAGACGTGGACAGCCCGGAAGTGCAGGCGCCCAAGCGAGCACACCCACCCTGGCTGCAAGCAGAATCTGAGAAATAGGTTCCCCGGAAATGTATGTGTTTCTACATACAAGTAATGTGCGGCTTGTACCGTTCTCTGTCTTCTAACTATGCTGAAGGCACGAAGTTTGCCTGGTCTTATTTTCTTCTTGATCTGCACATAAGGAGTTTTAACAGCTTATTTGAGCAATAGCTGCCCTGCAGTGAGCTGTGCATAATGGAAGTGCACGAGTTGACCCCCTGCTGTACGTACACACCCCCGGCACCACCACCACGGTCGGGACAGTCACACATCCAACAGCCCCCGTTCCCTAGCGCCCCTTCGTAGCCCTCCCTCCCACTCCTCTCCACGCGCCGCACCTTGCCAGGCAACTGCTGATGGGCTTTCGGTCTCCATGGGTCAGTTTGCATCTCCTAAAATTGTGTATCTGCACAACATGTGGCCTTTTGTGACTGGCTCCTTTCGCTCAGCGTGCAGTTTTCAGGGCTCATCCACGTCGTAGCCCGTGTCACTGACTCCTTGTTAACGCTGAGTAGCTCCATCCTACGGGTGGCGGGTGTGCCACAGCTTGTTTATGCACTTACCTGACGGCAGACACGTGGGCCGCGTCCAGCTCCACAAAGAAGTCACTAGGAATACTTGCGTGCACGTGTTTATACGGACGCTTGCTTTCATTTGTTTAGGTAAATGCACAGGAGTGGGATGGCTGGTGTACCACGTGGTAGGTGTACATTTAACTTTTTAAGAAGCTGCCAGACTGTTTTCCCAAGCGCCATATTATTTTACACTCCCAAGTATATGGCTCTTGACTTTCTGCCAGGCTGTTAGGTGCGTGGTGGATTCTCACGGTTCCCGGTCGCACTTCCCTGACGACCGCCGCGGAGGGGCGCCCCGCGCGGCTGCCGGCCAGCTGGGTCCCTCCTGCGCGAGGTGGCCGTGGGAGGCTCTCTGTTCGGTTGTCAGCCTTTCTCGTATTGCTTCCTACAAGTTATCCATCGTTCCAGACACAAGTCCTTTATCTCATCCCAAGTGTCTTCTCCCACTCGTCTTTCACTCGCTCTATAGCGTCTTTAATGAACAGAAGTTTTTTATTTTAATGTAAACAAAGTTATCGATCTTGTGCTGTGTAGCTCGTGAACTTTGTGTCCTTTTTAAGACCCTGAGGTCATGAATATTTCCCTGTTTTATCTTCTAGAAGTGTTATGATTTTGCCTTTCTCGCATGGACCCACCACGCACCTAGAGCTGCCTCTTGAGCGTGGCGAGACCAGAGACCCATGTCTGCGTGTGTCCGTGGGACGCCCAGCTGCCCCAACACAACTGGCTCCGCAGCCCGTCCTCCCCCATTACTCCGCAGCGTCCCCTCTGTCACGGCTGGAGCACAAACGGGTAAGCCTCAACCTGCTCCTTGCTGTTTACTCCGGTGCACCGGGCTGTGTGTCTCTGCCTGCACACGGCACCATTCTTTGCCATTTACTGTGCCTTACAGTTTCTCTGCCACGTGTTGGGCTGACACCACGCCCTCCAATGAGGTCTCAGTCCCCGCCTTGAGGAGGCTCCCTCCTTCCAAATTCCTTCCTTCCTTGGGCAGTCTCCCTCTGGGAATTCTTTAGAACTCTCTTATCTCTGCGTGGAAACAGTTAATATTTTTTTTTTTTTTTTGAGACAGGGTCTCACTCTGTTGCCCGGGCTAGAGTGAGTGCTGTGGTGTCAGCCTAGCTCACAGCAACCCCAGACTCCTGGGCTCAAGTGATCCTGCTGCCTCAGCCTCCCGAGTAGCTGGGACTACGGGCACGCACCACCATGCCCGGCTAATTTTTTCTATTTTTAGTTGTTTGGCTAATTTTCTTTCTATTTATAGTAGAGATGGGGATCTCACTCTTGCTCAAGCTGGTCTCAAACTCCTTAGCTCGAGCAATCCTCCCACCTCGGCCTCCCAGAGTGCTGGGATTATAGGCGTGAGCCACCGTGCCCAGCCAACAGTTCATAATCCTTTACATCAAACCTTCCTTGCTCAAATTATTGTGTGGCTACTGTCTGAACCGGACCCTGACTGATCCAGAATTGGTACTGCAGCGACCACAGGAGACAGATTCGCAAAGGTGGGATTGTGGAACTGACTCGCTGAGCTCTCGGGCCCAGGCAGCGCTGGTGCGCTGATGGTGGAAATGCGATGTAGCGATCCGCACCGATGACTGGTTACTGGCATCCCAACTCAGCGAGCCATCACCTTTGGTTACCTGACCACGTGCCAGCTGAAGCGAGTGCCTTGGGAGCCCCGTGGCTGCTGGACTTGACATTTTTTGGCAGTGATGGCAACTCCTGTAGACAGTCCCCTGAGGGCACTGTACACTCCAGAGAGAAAATGACAAGCTCCGGTCTGTGCTAAGAGTTGTTTTTTTTTTTTTTTTCCCCTGTAGTCACAGGATTGTTATTTCTGAAAATCAAGCATAAAGTGTAATTGTATTGGCTGTAAACAGTAGCTGATTTAGTCTCCCCAGTATCTCGTAGGAAAGTTAGGGTGTTGCCTGGGAAAGGATGGGACCACAAAATGCAGAGCGGGGACTCTTGGTTGGACCCAGGTGAAACTGACAGAACCCTCACATCACTCTGAGCCCCCAGTGCCAGTGGACGCCCGCCCCACGGCGTCACAGACTCATCTTCCTGGGACTGAAAATCCTGTCATGACGCCCTGAAAGCGTTGCTCATTCTCAATACCCACCACACCACCGTGTTGCCGCCAGACCGCAACTAGGGTCAAATCACAGCACGCTCCTGAGGGACAAGTCCACCCCGTGCCCAGGAAGGACAGCCCATACACCTAGAAAACGAGCGAAACTTTTCTAACACGTATCGGTAGAAATATGGGAAACATGTGTGGAGGTGGATTGCAAGGGTGTCAGACCAAGCAGGGTGGAATATAACACTGGATCAGGCCAAATTTATTGATGTGAGTAAAGTTAATAGAGAGTCCAGACTTAATGTGCTCACTTCAACAGCTGGAGGTGACTCCAACAGCGTATTTGATTGTTTGCAACTCAAACTCAAAAAAGGCCTACGTTTCACAAGGCTGAGGAGCTGGAGTCTGCCTGGCGCGGAGGAGGGATCCCAAAGGCATGGGGAGACAGCAATGCTGGACTGCATTTAACGTGAGTTCTATCAACAAGGCCCGAAACGCTCCGTCCACTAAGGCGCTGGGACTTACACACATTAGGAGAAGGAGCACCTGCTTCCCTGAAGAGCTCGGGGCTGCTCTCCTTGGCAGGCAGGTACCCCAGGGGTGCTGCCGTTGAGACGGGCTCTCAGAGCTCTGTGGGAGGATGGGATTCCAGGGGAGCAGAGGCTGAATGGCAGGACTTGGTAACCAAAGGCAAGGGACACAGGTCTGCCAAGGGAGGCAGCACATACATGCTGGCAACAAAATGCCTCAGTCCACAGGGCCGCTGGCAACAGCTAACTGAACACGGTGTCCCTGGGAACCTAAGACGACTGACCGACCAAAAAAACAAAAAAGCATTAGGTTTGGGAGCCAAAAACCTGGCTTGAGTCACAACTCTGAATAGTGACAGTTCTCCCAGTTCCCAGACCTGGCTCGACTCACAGGCCAAGACCCCGTGACTGGAGGGCAGGCTGGTCCTCTCGATCCTCCTCCCAGCCCTCCAGATCCACCCTCCACCGCCGGGCTGTGACACCCGCGCACTTCGTCCTCGCCATCCGGCATAAGGCCAGGTCTGTCCCTGGAGGGACGCTGGGAGGAGGAAGGGGTTTCTCTGCCTGGCTCCATGGTGCTTCCCTTGGCACTCGGCTTGCATGCAGGACACCCGGGGAGCTCACCTCCAGCAGCATCAGCAGCTTCCTGGGGAGCTCTGCAGGTGCCTTAGCTGACTCCCCAAAAAGCTCAACTGCCCCACAGGCAGCTCAGCCAGCTTCCAGCAAGCCCAGCGCACCCCCTGCAAGCAGCGCTTCCTGCGTATTTCTTTGGCACCCCAGCAAGTGGTTTCCAGCCCGCAGCTCTGGCCCACCAGGTATGAACCCCTGGCCCGGGCACCCCAGAGAACTCCCACATCCTGGCGTAGGCGGCAACCAGGACAAACCTGTGTCGATCATTTGCTCTGACAGTAAGCATGGCTGTCAGAGACACGGGTCTGGGGTCCTGAGGACGTCTGTACACCCTCGCTCAGAGTCTCTGAACATCTGAACGCCCAGTTAGAAGGGACACAACCTATTCCCACCTAGTGTGTCTGCACTGTGACCCCACAAGGCCCCTGCCTATAGGGGCTGCACTTCCCTCAACAGCTCTGGATACAGGAGCCCAAACTCACGATGTCCCAAGACACGCTGGGGGTTGTCACACCACGCACTCTCTCCTCAGGGTGATCTCTCAGCCCCAAAATGACGCTGACATCCAGGCCACAGGATTAAGCCCGCAAAGCCCTAGATCCAGGAGGTCTTGGACAGCAAAACAAATGAGGCCAAAGGTGGACTGACAGCCAGCTCTTCCCTGGACCCTCCTGCTCCACCCTTAATGCTGGCAGACCCCAGTTCTGTCAGCCCAGCCCACACGATAAACAAAACCTCCAGATCTAAGGTGGCTTCAACAATTAGAGCTTTATTTCCACACCAAGCAGAATAAAAGGAAGCAGGCAGTTCCCTTGAAGTTTGACTTGGAAGCCAGACCAACCCATCGGGAGTCTCGTGAGACCCACAGTGTCCGTGAGAAAAGGTCAACCTTCCCTGTAAGCCACAGAAAGCCCCCAGCTACGGTCCCGGGAGCAGGGAACGAGGCCCACTGGCGGCTCAGGCTCCTGGGATTCCCTCAAGGTGCACAAGGCTGAGGCAGCCCTGACAGCTGGCACAGGTGGAGGCTCCTGCCACAGTGACAGTGAGGGGACTCTGGCTCCGGCAGATTACGAAGTGCCACGTGGCTCCACAGGCTTCCCCACAGCCAGCGCTCAGCGGGGGCAGCCCCAGTGTGGACGTGGGGACTCGAGCTCAGCGTCCGGCTGGAGGCAGCTCTCGGTGCCGCTCTCCGATGCTCCCTCCGGCGCGTGTCCCGTCAGGTGCAGCAAGGACACGCATGTTCCCCGCGCACCTAAGTCCTTCCTCCAGGGAGAACGTTCTGGGGGCAGTCAGAGGTGAGGCCTTGGCTGCAGGTTTCGTCACGCAGCTGTGCTCACCAGGGCCGGCCCTCAGGAGAACACCGGCTGCTGCATGAGGCCGTCTCTGGGGGGGGAGCCTCCCGATCCCTGCATTCGTGGTCTTCCTCGGGTGGATCTGCCAGGGGTGAACGAGGTGACCCGCAGCTGACAGCTCTCCCAAGCGGCTGTGCTGACAAGGCTTTTAGGCAGCACGAGTTCAGGGCCTGGGAGGGTTCCCTGACTGCGCACTCCCGCACCTTTCTGGGCCGCGCACTTTCCAGCGCCAGGTCAGAGCAGACCCTTGGCTGAACACTTTCACTCTGCGCTCGCAGGGTCTGTCTCTAGTGTGGGCTTCCTGATGCTCACGAACCTAGCAGTGTGGCTACAGGTACTCCAACCTTCACTGCATTGATGAGGCCTGTTAACGTGGTGCCAAATGTGAATCCTCCGCTGAACACATTCCCAAGTCGGCTGCCCTCAGGCCCAACACCAGCGCGGGTCTCCGGTGCCGAACGTGGCTGGAGAACTCCTCACATTCGCTGAGCTCGTGAGGCCTCTCTCCAGCTCGGGTCTCTGGCGCGGAGCCACTGAGCCACGTGGACCTGCATCGGCCCTCCACGTGCTGTCCTTTCTAGCGGGAAAGGCCTCCCACCTCCGGTGCTCCCACGGCCCCCGACTGCAACGGCCTGGTGCTGTCCTTGCCGCACACCAGGGGCCTCCCACAGCTCTGCCTCGACCCCTGCCTCAGTTTCTCCCCGCCGTGCTCCTTGGGAGCCACTTCAACAGCAGCAGAGGCCCCCCACACCCACCTCCGCACGACGGTGTCTGCCCAAGGTGCTCGCACCTGTCAGCACTGGGCGTTTTCTCTTGGCCTTTCTATAGAAAATGACGATTATTTACTCTTGGCTCACACACCCTTCCCATCGGTCCGCCTCCACCCTCCCTTCTCCTCACAGGGTTTTATCATAACATGGTTAATATTCGGTGTTTGTTATCAGGACTGTAAAAATCCTGACCACAGCCGAGTCATACAGCATTAATACCATGATAACTTTTCCTTCTTTATCCAACTTGCTTTCCTTGGAATTATGTCCCTTGGTTTTCTAGGTACTTGACAGTAATTCAGTCCCAACTCCTATCTAAATCCTCAATATGCTCATCAGAGGCCACAGGGGCTCCAATAAATAAGACATCTTCCTGGTGCCAACAGCTAACCGGACTGGCTGTGTGCGGCGGGTCACGGCTGCCAGCCTGGAATCTCTGCCACTGTGCTCCTGCGGGTCCCCTTGCTGCTGTGTAGGGTCCTCCCTGGCCGTAGGCCACATCTCCTTCCTTGGCTTGCTCCCTCATTTTGGAGGAATACATCCTCTAGTACCTTCCTAAGGCACATAGGAATATACATGTAAATTTTTAAAGTGCCTTCAAGTCTTTTAGCGTGACTTTCAGTATACCTGGAATAATTTTCCTTCAGAATTCTGGAAGGTCCACATTCCTTTAGTTTCCAGTGTGGCCTCTGAGAATGCCAAACCTATTCTGGCACCTGATACTGTTTGCGTACCATTTATTCTCTCCAGAAGTTCCCCAGTGTTCTGAAATTTCACAGCGATGCGCCTTGGCAAGGTGCTTTCTTCTTCCATTCTGTTGGCACTCGGTTAGCTCTCGTAAATTGGAGACTTAAAGCCTTTGTTCTCAGAATTCTAATTCATGGAATCCACTATAAGATGTGTGTCACCTTTCCTTCAGACATATGCTATACTAGTCTTCCTTGCAGGCCAATGAGATTCTTCAAAGAAGTATCTTTTTGGTTTCCTGCAGGGAGGATATTACTGACCTGAGGATTTTACAAACTGAAGGCTGAATACCATACCCCTTTTGGTCTTCCACTGGGTGGCGGGAGGCACTGTGTGGCCTGCAGAATCTAACTGCTTCTTAAACAGGCTTCCGGCTTCACCCGTTCTCATAGCCTGCCAACTCCAGAGCCTCTGGGACTTCTGCAATACAAAGCAGATTCTCAGATGTTCCCATTTCTTTCTTGCAATGGAGATTTCTCAGGTGTTTCTAAGTTAGTTGCCATTCACTTATTTTCTTAGAGGTTTCATCCTAGTGGATTTATGCTTTTAAAAAAAAATTCTGTCACGTTAATGGAATTTTAGGAAGGGCCGCGGTGAATGGCCACGTCCAGTGGTTTGAGAGGCTGGGAAACAAAGCCTTTGCTCCAGGAATCCCAGTGCCCAGCTAAAACAACCTGGAGAGAACGGATGGTGAGTGGAAGCCAGCATCTCCGCCACCTACATCCAGCTGGTCTGAGGCAAAGAGACGGGGGCCACGTGTGACAGGAGCCTTTTGCAGGAGAGCAGGAGAGGCAGGGAAGGTTCAGGTATAAGGAATGAAGAAACTATCTAAAACAACAGAGACAGAGAACACGCAAGGGAGTCACTGAGAGATGAATAAATATCTTTATTTAGTTTATTCATTCCGGGTTCATCCCAAATCTTCACACCTTACCCCTCCTACTGTCAAGATGGGTCACACAGAACCATGGGGGCCAAACGCAAGTCTTGCCCACAGAACACTGTAGGGACAGGTCACCTTGCTCGAAAGCCATGGGTTTCAAACACTTTTCAGGGCACAACTCTCTTCAAACCAGAAACCACAAGCCACTAAGTAAAGCAGACTGTTGGGTCATTTAAATGTGCACAATGTTTTGGGTACCTCCCCAGATCCCCAGAGTTCCTCAAGGCAGTTAAAAAGTCCTGTTTCAGAGCCGTCTATCCAATTATGTGAGGCTTTCCACAAAGCCAGTCCCTTCTTCTCAAAACACAAATACCAAGATTTCACATGGCCAACACTTCTACCTGTTGAAATAAACAGTCCACAAAATTAAGGCATTTGGGAGGAATTAGAGGGAAATAAAGCATTTATTAAAGTTACAATAACATATCAAAAATGTCCATGATACTTTTGAAAGCTCTTAACTAGGCACAAGAGCAAAAACAGTCGTGGTCCCGGGCACTGCAGGCAAACGCATGTTCAGGCCAGAGCAGAAGGGAGTCAGAGGGTCGGTGGTGAGGACTCTCCTCAGCTCGCCCCCAGGCACACAGGCAAGTCACATCTCACGCGGCCAACACCAAACACAGGCGGTGGGAGCTGTGCAGACGCCGCAAGGCGGGACGCTGCTGGCTCCGTTACAGCATCCAACTATGACTGTGCACAAGAGAGCTGTGTTCATAAATGCCACACCCAGACTGGATCTGTGCACATTCCGGTATTACCTAGTGTATCTAAGAGATGTGCAAATCAAAGCAACTTAAGAGAGACTCCACTGCATTCCTGACACTGAACAATGGCTTGTGAAGGCAGCAGCAGTCGCCCTTCTACCCCCACCCACTTCTCCATCCTGCTGTCTGCTTAGGATTTGTATGATTCATTCCGCACCTCACTGTGCACTTCAAAGTCTGCATGTTCCCCTCTGCGGAATTCTGCTGGGACATGAATCCCACCAACCATGTATGCATGATGCAAATTATTTTATTTCACACTGTGGGAGCCAGGCTTGGAGGAGGAAAAAGGGAAGTGAGGCACAGTGAGAAGGGAGGTCATGTGGCCAAAACAGGCACTGTGCCAGGAGTGCAATACAAGCTGGCAGGGAACCCAGACCCCTGCAGGTTGGGACTGGTAACCGTGGGCCTGGCAGGGAGGCAAACAAGCAGGCAGAAGCCTACAGCCCCAGCATCAGAAGACCCACCATTAGTGCCACTGCCAACATTCAGGGGGTGTCACAGGCTCCCAGGGCCTGAGTTAAGGGGCAGTCCTCACCAAAAAGGACACACAAACCTCCTGTGAGTGTCTCTCATGAATCCAGGGGTGGCGGGAGGCCCATCACCACAGGGATGCCTGCACTTCCTAAAACTGTACACAGTGACCTCATAACTTGTTCTTGGACCATGAGGCAGTGGAAATGCCATGATACCTTTCACCAGCGTACAGGCTGTTTAAGAATCCAAGAAGAATTTCTCACCAATACATAAACACACACTATAGCTAGACCATGGTTTCCTGACTTTGGGATTTCAGAAGCAGGCAAGCTTAAAACAAAATTCAAGAGATTGAAAAAGAACAACCAACATTTTATTCTGCGACCAAGAGCCTTTAAAAAGCAAAAGTATTGCCTTGTTCTATCACTGTCATTATATAAAAGGACATTTATCATCCAAAGTAGGAAGGAAATAATCTTATAATAAAAGACAGTCCTCTAGGTTGGATACATTTGACTTCTTGAAGCACTGCCCATGTTGTCCTTATGTCCACATGTGCAGTGCTGTGCTGGAGGCCACACGGACTCTGGTTGCTCCGCCAGGGCCAAGGTCAAGCCCAGGTCTCCCAGGCCCTCCCAGCACCACAGCGCCTCGAACGCACTTCCTCTGAGAAGAGGGACGACAGCCATCACAAGGCTGTCTGCACGTGCACAGAGACTGCTCCCGTCCAAAGTGCTTTCACGGGCAGGCGCGTCCTCTCACGTGACCACACGAAACCCCGCAGGGCAGGCAGAGCAGGAAACCCTGTCCCCATCGGAAGCGGGGCCTCCACTGTGAATGAGGACTTATCCGAGTCCGTGCGGCAGTGAGCGACAAGGCACAGGCCAGAGCACTCCCTCGGAGGCAGATTTTCCCTTCGTTTATCCTGTGCTTGCTGTGTGTTCCTCTCTTTCTTTCACAGACTTTTTATTTGAAGAATCGATTCATGGAAGAAGGAAAATAAAACTTAAAATGATGGCACTTAATCCTGATAACAGAAATATCATCAATGTTAGGAAATTATTAATTGTCCTCTCTTTTTAAAATTACCTGTTTAACAAGTGCATTTTTGACTAAAATTTTCAAATGTCAAAACAGAACACCAAAAATCAAGCATTGCTGCCTCAAACACTTTCCTGGAACAAGGCAGAGTATAAATAAATAAATATATAAATAAGACAATATGAAGAGTCACAGAATGTGTGTGACATTGATGGTTTTGGGGAAATACATCTAAATACTCTTTACCCAGGACTCTGAAGCTGAGTTCTCAGAGGTATCAATACTGCCCAGCCCTGACCCTGGCCCAGCCTGGCCCATCTGTTCACGGCAGCCAAGGCCCAAGGCCAGCAGCCGCCCCTGACTGTGAAAACAGACACTCCTGGGGTGGGCTGGGGGCAGCGCCGAGGCTCCTTCCCGTAGGTCCCTCAGCCCCTGTCCCGTGGAGGGCTCTGGGCCAGCAGGCAGTAGCCTCTCAAGGGCCACCTCATTCCCTGGCTACCTGGGCACCCCAGGGCTTAGAAACATGATTTCATAAAGTGCTCGGATGGAGAGTGTCACTCTCTCCTGTTCTGTAGCCCATCCTTGCCAGCACGAGGGAAGGGAGCATTAGTACAGTGTCACTAATAACAAGGAGGAATGGCCTTAGTCACCTACACTGTTTTCAGATTCATGTTTGGCAGCTATGAAATTTCAAACAAAAGGCTGAACTTTCAAACAAGAGGCTGAACCTCAAAGTTGTTAGAATTCTGAGAAAATTAGCAAAGGCTGACTTGAATAAAGAGGAAGCTGGGGCCAGCAAGGTGGCTCATGCCTATAATCTCAGCACCTTGGGAGGCTGAGGCAGGAGGATCGCTTGAGCCCAGGAGTTAGAGACCCATCTCTAAAAAAAAAAAAAAATTAGCCAGGCATGGTGGCTCATGCCTGTAGTACCAGCTACTCAGAGGCTGAGGCAGAAGACTGCATGAAGCCAAGAGTTTGAGACTGCTGTGAGCTATGATCATGCAACTACACTCCAGCCTAGGCAACAGAGCAAGAGCCTGCCTCAAAAATAAATACAGGCCAGGCGCAGTGGCTCACGCCTGTAATCCTAACACTCTGGGAGGCTGAGGCGGGCGGATTGCTCGAGGTCAGGAGTTCAAAACCAGCCTGAGCAAGAACGAGACCCTGTCTCTACTATAAATAGAAAGAAATTAATTGACCAACTAATATATATAGAAAAAATTAGCCGGGCATGGTGGCGCATGCCTGTAGTCCCAGCTACTCGGGAGGCTGAGGCAGCAGGATTGCTTGAGCCCAGGAGTGTGAGGTTGCTGTGAGCTAGGCTGATGCCATGGCACTCACTCTAGCCTGGGCAACAAAGCAAGACTCTGTCTCAAAAAATAAAATAAGATAAAATAAAATAAAATAAATAAATAAATACATAAATAAATAAAGAGGAAGCTGAGCAGTCCTCTGCAAATGAAGAGCTGAGACCCCAGACACCTGCAGACCAGCTGGAGTGCACCACATACCAGGGAGGGACCATCCTCTGGCTCATTCTCTTCCCAGATACATTATCTCCCTCGGAGCAAGCCTCAACTATAAGGATCGATTCAGTCCATTCCTCCAGAGACAACATGGGAAAATGGTGACCTCTCTAAGTACATAAGCTCTAAACTGAACAAAGAAACATGAAACCCACTCTGCCATGCCCGGGCCCTTGCCTCTGCATGCCTGAGGGTCACACCAGCATGCTCATGCACGGGACTCCTGCACAGGCAGCATTCCCAGGTGCTGCTTCCCAAAAGGTCCGAAAACAGAGCCACCCTCCTACTGTGAGTAGGGCTGAGAAGGCCTTGTCCTTATTAGACCTTTGCAGCAAGCACTCAGCAGGGCAGACTCGGTGCGTGCTATGGACCTACCACACAGCTCACCTGGAAAAAACCTGCCCTCTTCTACCCTGAGCCAAAAGGGCAGCAAGAAGAGGAGACAAGAGTTGGGAAGAGCTAACCAGTACTCCAGTAAGAGCTGAAAGTACAACAAACCAAACATCCACTCCTCAGAGCCCTCTCTCAGCCCTACCAAGGTGAGGAGTCACTGCTTACGGATCTCTAGTGACAAGAGGCCCCTCTAGAGTGGCCCAGTCCACCTGTGGTCCTGCCCCAGCCACAGCCCAGGTTTGAGTGCCATGAAGAACACCCCTAACCCCTCTCCTGGGCTGAAGCCCCTGCAGCACTCGGCTCCGGCTGTCATGCCCCTCACCAGCCACCCATCCTGTGGCTCCTCTCCTCCCTCAGGAAGACTCTCCTGACTTCAGGAGGACCCAGTCCCAAGCTCCCTTAGATGAGCATATGGCCCAACCCCAGGCCTCAGAAACCCAGCCCACGTCTACACAACTATCACGCATGGAGCAGTATCACTTCAGCTGCATGAATGCCTCCAACGCTTGCATTTTTCCCTCTGAATGACTCTTCTTCCCCTCAGAACCGCACACACGCACATCCGGGTCCACGTGGGTGTCCCAGCACAGAGCCATCCACGACACATGGTCGGGGTTTGGAATTCCATTCTCAAGCTGTAGACTATAATGGTCAGACACTGCTTGTCTGGTCAGCCGAAACACACAATAATGCTAATCATTATATAAAGCAATATCATTAGTTCAATTCTTACAAAATAGGATTTCTCTTATTACAAAAAATCATAACACAGATTTGAAATCTGCTCATTCTTAACTATTTCAAGGTCTAGAATCACCACGGGTCCACACAATGGTCCTCATAGGCTTCATATGACAAAATGTGATTTCACTGGAAATAAAAGCCACCTCAGCCACTGGCCCACCTGCCAATGACCTTCACTCCTGGCTGCACAGCCCAGGGTGTGAGAATAAACCCACCCACACAGCCAAAGACAACTGTGATGATGACCCAGGTCATCTCTCTCCCCTACCACACCCCAGGCGGGCTGGGGAAAGACTTCTGACCTCACTGCTCTCCCCTCCTAGATTCTAAGAGCAGCTACCAAGACAAGTGAAGAGCAATCAAACCCCCACCAGATGTTACGTCCACTGGATGCCAAGCAGCTGGAAGCCTGGAACCATCCAGAGGACCAAAAGAACTTTCCACTCTCTGGTGTGTGTACAGACGAGAAGACAGCACCCCAGCATTTTCTTCTCCTATTTACTGGCAGTGATTGCTGTTGGAAGGGGCCTCAGTTCCAGGGAAGGCAGTCGTTTACTGGCTAGGTCAGTGTGGGCCTCCTGAAATCAATCACTGTCTAGAAGCTCCCTAAAGTGAAATGGCAGAAGACTTATGACACCTCTTGGCATGATGTGAGGCACAGTAGGTATGAGAACAGGTACTGAGCCGTGGAGCTCTGCACTGTGACCCCTATGGATTCTGAGCAAATGCACGGATTGGCTTTGCGATAACAACCTGTGCAGCCAGGAAACCACCCTTGCATGAAGACAGCTCATATGACAGCTCCACCAGAGAGAGAATACTGAAGTGGCAAGAAAGGGTGTGTGTGACCAGTGCATGTGCTACTTAACCCCAGGAGCAGAGAAAACAAACTAGCAAATTCATGAACTGCATTTCTGTTCTCTACTTTGCTTACCAAAACTCCCTGTTCATTTTGATATTAGAAGGCTTTAATCGAACAATTAAATTGAGAATTAGAAAAATAAATAGAAGTACAGTTCTGGAAAGTGCTAGGAGTCTTCTCTACAGGGAATATTAGCAGGCCTCCAACCTCAGCCCACACCTGCACACATTCCACAATCCACTTCATTATTATACGACCGTGAAAGTCCAGAACAGAGATATTTAGGAAGAACAAAATTAAGTTTTGTAACAGCCTCTTGACTGACAATGACCCAAAGAGTGTTCAATGGCCCCAGCACCCGAGATGAAATCACAGTCCATGAGAACAAGGCCATGTCGTCATTACCAACAGCTGGTCGGGATGCAGTCGGCAGCACAGGATACGGTTCACAGGGTGCAAGAATTGGTGTGTTTCCACTGCAGATCACCTTCTCCCTCACTGTAATCAACACTGCGCTTGAATCCTACTCATAAAGCAGAAACTTCTTTATGGGGTCTGGCAGAGGCAGCGAGGGAATCAGATGAAGGCGGTATTTGCCAAGAGCTCTTCTCACAGCCACACGGCACAGACTCAGCAAGGTCCTGGGAACCCCTGGGAGCCACAAGAAGAAAGGGGGAGACAGAGGAAGAAGGTTAGTTCCTACCCTAACTCCGAAGGCTGAAGGCTGGCTGTGACTAAGAGCCAGAACTGCACGAATGCTCACTTCCAACCTCCTAATTTTACAGCGAGGAGGGGCTTGTTCTCTCTTCCTTCCATCCAAGGAAAAGCAAAACCTTCACGGCCTCATTTACCTGGGGTGTCAGCTTACATGGACATCGTCTCCCCCTCAACTATGTTTAACACCCTAGACAAGGAAGTAAGAGTTGACCAGTAAAGGCCCCGGTAGGTGTGAGCAAACGGATCCTTCCCCTCTGCCAGCCTCTTCTCTTGGTCAATCCCTACAGCCACAAAGAAGCCTGGGGAATGTAGGCCAAGCAGCACTTGGCAGGCACAGGCGGACGGTTTTGCTCCAGGTCAAAAAAAAGCCTAACCAAGCCTCTGCCTCAGTGAGGAGGGTGACAGGTGACACAGTCATGAACACAAGTTACTTTTTTCTATCAGTTTGGTTCCCAACTGACCATTAGCCAACTATTTTTAAGAAGGCTAAATAAGAGCATGTTTTAATGAACTATTTAGGGAAATCTAGTAATTAAAGTTCTGTGGATGCCCTCAAGACCCAGATTAGGAGGGAGTGTGAGGGCAGGAGGTCACAAAGGATGCACAAGGTCAATTTCTGAATTGACCCAGAGAGAGCCTCTGATAATAAGACCAAACCATAGATCAATTCCAAACTCTCACACTATCGATTTATTAATCCTTAACAAAATCTTTCTTCATAAATAAGGAAAGTACAGACTTCACTGTAACCAAAATTAGACATCACAGAAACCAAAATAATGGTATTTGAATGGGAACTGAAAAAAGGGAGGTGAGGAATCCTAGAAAATAGGCCTGTGACTTGTGTAAGGCCTCATTTATAAACCATGTATGAAAGAAGTCACTGTCTCTATGAATTTGAGTCACAAAGCAGAGCAAAACGATAAATATAATTCTAGGAACTTTGAGAATATACAAGCACTTGTTTAGATTTCCTGATATCAACCCTTGGTGTCTAGGAATTTTAAAAGAGATGATCAATCTCAACAACTATTCTAGAAAATCACCAGTCTTAACTGAAGATTTTGACCAAATGCTTAGAGGTTGTTTTTTTTTTTTTAATTACTACATCTTGATTCATTCAATCGACCCAAACAGACTACAAGTCAGAGCTGAACCCAAACCACTTACTTCTGGCCTCTTTAAAGACCTGCAAGGCGTCAGGGTCCACCTTCCTTCTGCCTCTTGATTCTGGGCCCAGTGACTCCCACTTCACCAGGTTCAGGTTGGCTCCAAACTCCACCAGCAGGCTCACGAAGGCTGCCTCGCAGCCATGACGCAGGACGGCATCCATGACACACCCAGGGGAGCCCCTGTAGAAGCCCTGTGTGTTGACAGGCCCATTGCAGTTGAAGTCGGGGTTTGCCCCGGCCTGGAGGAGCAGCCGGAAGCACTGGAGGTTGTGGTAGGCCGCGCTGATATACAAGGGACAGACCACGAGGGAGGTGAGCCGCCGGGAGAAAGGGGGCTGGACGTCAGGAGTCAGGTGGTGGTTGACATCGACGTCAGCACCATACCTACGGAGAGAGGGTAGTCAGACCTGCCGCGGACTAGCCACAGTGCACAAAGTGCCACAGCCACCCTCGGGGGAGCCTCGACTCGGTGACACAGGGAGCCACTGGAGACTCCACAGACCACAAATAGCTTCCATGATCATTTCTAGCAAGACTAGGTAGCAGAAAAGAACTTGGAATCCACTCATGCAAAAAATAATTCCTGAGTGGAGCCTTCAAACCTTTAAGGATCCAAAAACCCTAAAGCTACTATTTCAGAGCAAAGACAAAAAGGGAAAATACCCAAATTCATCTGATGAAATTAGCACCACGACATCCCAAAACCTGAAAAGACCACACCATAATGAAAAACTACCAACTAATTTCACTTATGAGTATCAATTTAAAAATCGTCAATAAAATATTAGGAAGAGAATCCTAAAGTATATTAAGAAAGCAATACACCATGACTTCTTGGGAGTTATTGCAAGGACAGTTCCAATATTAGAAACTGTATGAGCATAACCCACCATATAATGGAACTAAGGGGAAAATCCTGATTGTCTCTTCAGACGCAAAAAAAAAAAAAGCATATAACAAAACTCAACAGTAATGTATATTTAAATATACTCAATAAAATAGGAAGTGATGGCTTCTCATTAACATGATAAAATATATTCTCTCAACCCAGAAATCAGCACCTGAGTGGGGAAATGCTAGAAGCACTCCTGTTAAACGTGGATCAAGACACAGACACCCAGTTTCCAGCCTCCTGTTTAACACCAGTGCTGAAGGTATTAGCTGGGGTAATCAGGCAAGAGAAAGCAATTAAATGAGTAAGATTAGCAAGGAGGAGGCAAAACGTTCCCTGTTTCCAGAGGATATAATTATATGTCTAGAAAGCCCTAAATAAGCAATATGGAAAAACAACTAGCTAGCAATGAGAGCCATCATACATACAAGTTCAAAGATAACATGGAAGAGAAGACCACATTTATGATAGCAAAATACATTTTAAAATGACATATCTAAGCATAAATTAACAATAAATGTCTAATATTTGCATAAGGAAAATGATAAAATACTAATTAAAGTCACAAAAGTAAACCTAAAACATGAAAAAACACACCAAAGTTTTGGATAAGAAGACCCAACATCTTCACGATGTCAACTTTCCGTAAGTTTTTTAATAGATCAAAATACCATTTATTTTATAAAATACTTACAGAAGAGCTACCTGCTCCCCATTAAAGCTCTGCTTTTTCATCTTGTCTGATCTTCTAAATGAACTTTATAATCAACCAATGTGGCTTCAGGGACACTGTTTTTATGTATTTATATTTGTAATCAAATTATTTCATTCTAGGACTGGAATTTTCATTCATAAAATAAACTTAGGGAAAATTGACCTCTTAAATCAAACCACATATAGAAATTTAGTAAATGGTAAAGGCAGCACCTCAAATAAGTAGTATAGGGGGATGGACTTTTAATAAGTGTTTTTGGGATAACTGAATATCTATACGGATAAAGAGAAAGTCAAATCCATTCATCACAGCATACACCAGAATAAATTCCAAATGGATCTAAATTTAAAATGTTAAACAGGAAACCATATAGAAAGTAGGAGAAAACCTCCAAGTAAAATGTGCCTAACTATAACACAAAATACAGAAAGAAAAGGTTTTTAACATGAAAAATATATTTTTTTTTTTTTTTTTTTTTGAGACAGAGTCTCGCTTTGTTGCCCAGGCTAGAGTGAGTGCCGTGGCGTCAGCCTAGCTCACAGCAACCTCAAACTCCTGGGCTCGAGCGATCCTTCTGTCTCAGCCTCCCGAGTAGCTGGGACTACAGGCATGCGCCACCATGCCCGGCTAATTTTTTATATATATATCAGTTGGCCAATTAGTTTCTTTCTATTTATAGTAGAGACGGGGTCTCGCTCTTGCTCAGGCTGGTTTTGAACTCCTGACCTTGAGCAATCCGCCCGCCTCGGCCTCCCAGAGAGCTAGGATTACAGGCGTGAGCCACCGCGCCCGGCCAACATAAAAAATATTTTTAAAAACTTTTGCATGGCAAAAATAACATAAGCAAAGTAAAACAATAAATGAAAAACTGAGGAAAATGTTACAATGGGTTAATATCCTTAACATATAAAGAGTTTCTAAAGGAAAAAGATCAACAGTCCTATAGAAAAATGAGCTGAAGAGGGCAATTGTGGGAATGGCGCTTAACCATATGAGAAGGTGCTTAGCCTCACTCACAATAGAAACGCAAATAAAAACTACACTAAGGCCAGGTGCAGTGGCTCACACCTGCCTATAGTCCCAGCACTTTGGGAGGCTGAGCAAGGCAGGAGGATCACCTGAGGCCAGGATTTCAAGACCAGCCTGGGCAATGTAGCAAAACTCTGTCTCTACAAAAAATTTCAAAATCAGCTGGGTGTGGTGGTGCATGCATATAGTCCCAGCTACTCAGGAGGCTAAGGCAGGAGGATTGCTTGAGCCCAGGAGATCAAGGCTGCAGTGAGCTATGATCTGGCCACTGCACTCTAGCTTGAGCAAGACCTTATCTCTTTAAAACAAACAGAACAAAAAAAAAAACTACCCTGACTACACTACTACACTTCTCGCCTATGAGATTGGAAAAAATCCAAAAGTTTATTGTCCAGGTTGTAAAGAAACAGGAAGTCTCATTCACTGCTGGGGCAATGTAAAATAGAGAAACCCCTGTGGAGGGGAATTTGGCAATTGCTAGCAAAATTACACATAGTTTTAGCCTTTGACTCATCAATCATGATTCTTAGGATCTATTCCCCAAATACATTTGCAAAACTATGAAAAGATGTACGTACAAGGCAACTCATTAAACCACTCCCTGTAATAGCTGAGAACGGGAAACCACCCACATGTCCACCACAGGGGGACTGGCCAAATTAGCTGTGGTTCATCTGTACAAAGCAGCACTGCGCAGCATGAAAAGAGGCGAGAAGGGTCACTACCTACAGCTCGGGAACATCCTCCAGAGAAAAAGCAGGATGATGAAAGTATACAGTAAGCTACTGTTTATCTGGGGGAAGGAGGCTGCAGAGTGTGTGAGTGAGTGTGTGTGTGTGTGTGTGTGTGTGTGTGTGTGTGTGTGTGTGAAGGAGGCTGCAGAGTGTGTGTGTGTGTGTGTGTACACCCAGACACATGCACATATTTGCTTATTTTTAACAATAGAAGGATAAACCATAGAACTTTTAAAATGGTTAGTTAGGGGAGCAAGAGACTAGGATGATGAGTACAAGGATAGAAGCTAGACCTTTTTTAAAATACACCTTGCTTTATACAAACTGTGTAGATATTTTATGCTGTAAAACAAAATTAAGTACAAGGCAATCTCTAAAAATTAAAAGCAAAAAGAAACAATGAACTCAACTGCATACCCAGCTGGTGCCACCACGTACCGCCTGCAAGGGCGGCTCTTCTCTTCAGGTACATTAAGCATCCAGACTCACACTATTATCAACAGCACCGACCCCTCCCAGCATCAGACCCACTAAGAAGGACCTGGGACAGGAAGCACACTCTGCCAGCAGGGCAGCTTCACACAGCTCTGCGCAGCAGGCAGGCACATGGCGCAGTGAGGTGATCCCTAAGGCTGTCCCCCCTTGACCCCCATGGACAGCCAGATGTGAGGAAACAAATCACACACAAGGCAGGTGCAGGAGCCGCCTGCCTTAGAAGCTTCGCTCTCCACCAAAGAGAATCTCTAAACAACTCCACAGGCAGAGCTTCACCGCCATGCCACTGCACTCAGAGATGCCCAGATACATAACTTTCAGGCACTTAGAGTTCCAAGTGCAAACTCCCAGTCATTTTTACTTTAAACAGGAGTCAGCCAACTGTAGCAGAAAGGACAGCCTGGCTCAGAGGGTCAGAGTCCCGGCAAAGTGAGGAAGGTCCTGCCAAGGATGGCTACCTGGCATGGGTAAGGGGCAAGTGTGGGAAGGGAACAGCAAAAGGAGATTGGTTGGCAGGGGGAGGCGGCCTAACACAAGTAAATGTGGTGAAGACAAGGGGAACTAGGCTCCTTGCTGTGGAAAGGAGAATAGTAAATGCAGAAAAGGAGAAAACCCAGATGAACTTTGTGGTGTTACACTGAATTAGGGGTATCCAGGTGAACTCCGGTCGATGTATACATAGAAATAGAAATATGGTATGTATGTATAACCTTAACTTGACCCAGTAAGAGGGCCTGAAAACACTGACAACCCAAAAGCAATAAGCACTCATGGCGTCCAGATCATGGTTTCTACGTACCATTCTTCACTAAAAGAAATCAGGACTCCTTGGAGAAATGGCTTATGCTAGGCCTGAGACAGTCAAAGTACGAGATGAGCCTAGAATATCTTGTTATATGAGAAAGTATGGAACTGCTCAAAGAATGATGGGGACATGTCAAATGGACACAGAGATGGCCTGAAGCAGCTACCAATAGCCCAGTCCAAGATAATTTGAGCATCAAAATAAGTAACAGTAATAATGGAGTGTAATTCACTGGATAATATAAGAAACCATGAGTCTATACTAACATAAATAAATGAACAAATTAAAAATTTGAGATGAGGAATAGGACATATACATGGTTGCAAAGCACCTTTCCACAAAATACTCACTGCTTACAGAGGGAAGATAATAACTTTACAATGGGGAAACTGACAGACAATGGGGAAACTGGTTCTTTAACCAAAAGAACAAACTGTGTATCAGCAATGGAACAAAAGGAGGTAAGGAGAACACAGCCTCATCTCGTGAGACCCCTGCCCAGGATCGTTACTTCCCTCTAATCTGAGTAAACGTTAGACAGCCAGCACCTGTTTTCTTGAGCTTTCACTGGCCCCAGATGGTCCTGCAATGTCTCACAAGTTTTGTCATCACCTAAGTATTTCATTTGAAATAGAAAAGGGCAATACGTAGGAAGCAGTAAGAGGGCCGGACAGACAGGGGTCCGGGGAGGACAGAAGAGCATCGTTTTCCACACTTTAATAAAAACAGCTGGCCAACAGTCACAGCCAGTGATCGTGCTGTGTAATTGCCTCTTCAGCACCACTCTGAGTAGCCAGAGAAATGTTCCCCTGGGACCAAAACTGCTTTCTTTGGGCAGCAAAGACCTGAGGACAGGCACACAGATCAACATGCTCTCATGACAGTGAAGTTTCCAGTACAAATGCAAACGGCATTCATTCTCCAAGACAATCTAGGAGTGACCAGAGAAACATTCTGGAACACATATGATACCAACCAGAAACTGATACTTCATTTCATACTCTCTACCAATTAAGAAAAGGAAAACAATATTTCAAGCAGTGGTATTTTTCTCTCCTTATTCTTAGGTACATGTCTTCCAAAACGTCTGTAATTTTGGGCAATATGACAATCTGGAATTAGCTGAGCTATGGGAAAGATAGCCCCTCAACCACTCATAAAAATATACTGGATAAGATCCAGTTAATTTTAATCCTGAATATTTTCCAAATTCCTCTATTGCTTTTACTATCACTGGCAAGGAACCACTGGGAAAACTCAACAAATAAGTATAACTTTTGCATATACAGAAATACCATGCCTTACCTTTCTTCTAAAACATGAGCAATATATATTAAGGGAATTTACAAATAACAAAACGGAGGTCACTTACAGAGGGACAGAAAATCACAACAGTGAAAGATGAGAGCCCTGCCTACGAGGGAATGTCAGAGGGAAGGCTGGAGCCAAGCTCAAATTATTTTCAGATATTATCTGTTCAGCAACTTAAACATACCACTCTGATTTTCCAAAAGTCAATTACTTTGAAATTTAGAATGCAGAAACCTTTTAATAGAATAATATGTGCTCTTGGTACCTCATTATGAAAGTAAGGCCCTGTGCTCCAGTGAGGGAACAGGCTGTCTTAGTAATGTTTTCTCAAGAAGGGCATCTGTGTATGTGTTTCTCAGTCAAGCCCACAGGGAACTCGAAGCAGTTGTGCACTGTGAATTGACTGAAATGTCCAAAGGGATTTCTGGAACTAAGATGAATTTCACTGATCCTACTCAAAAACATTTCCAAACTAATGACTTACATTCTCCAAGATGCAAAGAGATGGGACTGAGGTGGTTTAGTTTATCAGGCTAGAAATCCTTAAAAAGAGGGAAATTGCCACACAGCTTTTTCATCCTCTAATATTGCGGTCCCCAACCCCTGCGCCATGGACCAGCACTGGTCTGTGGCCTGTTTGAAATCAAGCCCCTGAGCTCTGCCTCCCCTCCCCAGCCCGCCACCCCTCCATCTGTGGAATACTTGCCTTCCAAGAAACTCAGGAACCAGGCTGCAGGGCAGGAGGTGAGTAGTGGGTGGGTGCTCAAGCCATCAATGCGTCACTGCCTGAACTCCACACCCTCCACCCCTAGATCTGGAAAAAACTGTCTTCCATGAAACCGGTCCCTGGTGCCAAAAAGGTTGGGGACCGCTGCTCTAACCTCACAACCTTATCACTGTCATTTATCTTCCCCAAACCCTACTGTATTGTTATTTAACACATGAAACCCCTCAATGGGATAAATATATTCTCAGTATTTAATTTAAAAACCACGTGCTGTGCTGGGCAAAAGGAACGCCAGGTCCCTGCTCTTCAGAACCACTCTGACTGCAGCTGGTAACCACACAGCCCTCACCCGATCCTTCTCAATACTGAAAAATTTCACTGACAACCAGCCACCTAAACTGCACCCCATCCAGCCACACAGCAATCTGGACTCTGGAGCAAGGGATGGAAAAAAGCATTTGAAATAGGAAGTGGCAATACGTACAACTGCCAAATTCCTCTGGTAGAAAGAAGTCACTGGAACATGAAAAATGAAAACACGCTACTTCGAACAGAAGACATAAAGGTAACCATAAGTACATTTAAAATAGACATAAACCTTCCAAAATAATGGGAGTGGAAAGCAAAGAAAACACAGATCATGGAACAAAAGATAACAAATAAAGGAAATAGTTGAGAAACAGAAAGATAAAAGAAATAGATCCTAACATCGGCTATAGCAACCAAAGAATCCCAGACAAATAGTTCTACATGAGCACACAAACTACTTAAACTGAGATTAAAACCAAACATTACACAACACTGTGTAAGTGAGCCTTCAGTGAAACCCACAGTACTCTTTTGTTTTGATAATGGACATAATCTGTAGGCAAGAACTTTTATGAGCTTGGTTAGCATGGAAATATCCACAGCAAAAGCTACTTGAAATACAAGGGGAAACAGACAAAATCCCAAAAGTGATTAGAGACTAAAAGACTTCTCTCTAAATTTTTGGTATATCAATAGCAGAAATGTAAAAAAAAAAAAAAAAAAAGAGGAAGGGGAAGGGGAGCTTTTAATAAAATAATTTAGGCTAACATATTGCAGTATGCAAATAAAATACTCACAATCAGGTACTTTGTGTCAACCATCCACAATGATGTAGTTTGACATTAATAAATAATAATTTAAAAACCTCAAAGCATCTCCAAAATGGAAACTATAGGGTTCATGCTATCTGAGCACAATAAAATAAAATTCGAAGTTCATAAAAAATGTTATTAAAACTTTCTCCTCCATAACTCTAAGAACAAAGGAAATCAACTTCAATTACAGCTGCTTAAAAAATAAAGAAAAGGCTTAGAGGACATTGCCAAAACTACAGTAAAAGGTAAATGTATTAATTTACCTTTTATTACCTTTTACCTTGAAATTTTACATTACTAATCAAGAATATAATGAATAAGCATTCAACTCAAAAAATTAGGAAAAAACAAAGAAAAATAGAAAACAAAGATAAAAATAGATATAAGTGAATAAGCAGAAAAATAAAAGAACTGATAAAGCCAAAAAGCCATTCTTTTAAAGGCTAGCAAAATAGACAAATCCTCTAAACACTCGTTTCCAAGACAGGAAAAAAGCGAGCACAGAGAACAAGAGGCGAGCCCGTGGCTGCAGGGCCGGCGGCGCAGCCATGCTCCCGGCAGGGCCCACTGCACTGACCTGATGAGGGCCTGCAGGATGTCCGCCCTGCCCACGCGGGAGGCATGGTAGACCGGGGTGCTGCGATGGTGTCGGCTTCCATTGGGGTCAGCGCCGGCTTCCAGAAGGATCTGGGCGCTCTCCAGGTGCCCGTTCACCACAGCCACATACAGGGCAGTCTGTCCCTTCACATCCACCAGGTCCACCTCGGCCCCCTTCCGAATGAGGAAGTCCACACAGTTCCCGTGGCCCGCAGTGGCCGCGATTCGCAGTGGCGTGCAGGGGAGCCAGCCACAGCACCAGACAGACTTCTCGTTGATGCGGCTACAGAAGGAGCAGGGAGCTTATGAGAGGCAGCCCAGGAAAGGGACAGGCTGCTCTGAGCCCTCTCATGCTGACAATATGGAACAGTCTCCCTGAGAAGGGCAGTCCCTCAAATAGTCATCCCTCTGGTTTAGCAAGGCCACCACTTGTGTGCTGCTTTCTGAAACGCTTTCCTGTCTCTACCCTGCTAGACCTGTGCATGGCGGGGCAGGCATTAGGAGCCCCATGCTAGAGAGGAGGAAACTCAAGGCACAGGCAGAACGGTCAGCGGTGGAACTAAGATTTCTGTTCTTACATGCACTGCCCCGTGGCCCAGAGCACCTTCTTCTACAAAGGAAACAAGGGCCTGCCCAAGAGGCAGTGCAGGATAAACAGCACACCCACCTGGGAATGCGGCCAGGGTCCCCAGGCCCCTTTCACCAGTTACCACCTGTGAAGGCCTGAGAGTGGGCCTCTGTCTGGGCCTCAGCATCCTCACTGTGACCACTACGGTCCCTCCACCTCTGACACAGCACGAATGACAGCCTGAATGAATCACTAAGGTGGCATGGGGGCTACACTCTTGGCCAAAAGCAGCAGAGGGAAAACTGTCCAGACTCAGCTCTCAATGACTGTGACAATCAGACTGCAACTACCTGTATGCACTGACCCATCGTGTCAGCACCCAAGGGCCAGTTCACTGCACAACCCCCGTGTAACCCGGAACAAAGCTTGGGGATGCAGAGCACTGAGCGGGAAGCATCCTCAAACCAGCCCTTAGGATTCCTCCTTCAGCTGTGTATCGCTTTGGCCAAGAAAGTATAAGAATGTTCCAAGAACTTATCGCCAAAGAAATAAAATAGCAACAGAAAACACAAAGGTCAATGACAGAACTGGACCTGAACTCAGGTCTCCCCACCCACACCCTCGGGCCATCTCCTACAACTCTGACCATGCTTCCTCCATCTCCACTTTGCTCCCCATCCTCTAACACTGGAACGCACTCCTCCCAGCATGAGGCTCTTCATCTGCACACTGTGAGTCTCAGCTTCTTGCAGACCCCAGGGGCCCAGGACTTGCCCCAGCGGGCAGTGACACTCACCTCCGGTAGCTCTCCTCTTGCAACAGGCTCCTGAGGGTCTGGAGGTCCCCCACGTAGGCTGCATCGTGGAGCCTCGTGTCCTCACAGTGCTCCAGCGGATGGTCACAAAACTGCTCCCGCAGCCACTCCTTCAGATTAGGACCTGCACTGGAGAGAGGGGGTTCCTGTCAGCTCGGGGAGACCAGGCCAAGGCCAACCAAAAGGGGGAGCCATCTGCATGAGTGCTTCCTCTCCCAGCCACTGGGTACTTTCAAACTCCTAAGAAATACATCACAGAAAATGGGGGAACGTTTCCCTTATGAAGCAAGCACATTCCTGACACCAACCCTGACAATTTGTAAATAGCTGATGGGGATGGGAGACTATAAGCCAAACCTAATTTAAGAACATGGAAGCCAAAGGAGGATCCACTTGGACCCAGGAGTCTAAGGCTGCCATGAGCTATGATGACAGCACTGCACCCTATCCCTGGTGACAGAGCAAGATCCTGTCTCAAAAATAAATAAATGAATGAATGGATACAGAAGAAGCCAAGATCCTAAATAAAATATTAGCAAATTGCGGATGGGTGCAGTAGCTCACGCCTATAATCCCAGCACTTTGGGAGGTCGAGGAGGAAGGATCGCTTGAGGCCAGGAGTTTGACATCAGCCTGAGCAACAAAGTGAAACCCTCATCTCTAAAGAAAGTAGAAAAGTTCGCTGGGTGGTGGTGGAGCACACCCATAGTCCCAGCTACTTGGGAGGCTATGGCAGTAGGATTGCTGGAGCCCAGGAGTTTGAGGTTGCTGTGAGCTACAGTGACAGATGACATCACTGCACTCTAACTCTACTGGGGGCAACAGAGCAAGACTGTCTCAAAAAAAAAAAAAAAAAACTAGAAATTATTAAGCTTAGTGAGAAAGGCATATCAAAAGCCAACACAGGCTGAAAACTAGGCCTGTTACACCAAACAACCAAGTTGTGAATAAAAACATCTTGATGGAAATTAAAAGTGCTACTCCAGAAAACACACAAATGCTAAGAAAGCAAAACAGCCTTATTGCTGATATGCAGAAAGTTTCAGTGATCTGGACAGAAGACCAACCAAGCCACAACACTGCCTTAAGCCAAAGCCTAATCCAGAGCAAGTCCCTAACTCTCTTCTATTCTATGAAGGCCGAGAGAAGTGAGGAAGCTACAGAAGAAAAGTCTGGGGCTAGCAGAGGCTGGTTCATGAGGTTTAAGGAGAGAAGCTGTCTCCGTAACATAAAGCACAGGGTGAAGCTGCAAGTGCTGATGGAGAAGCTGCCGCAAGTTATCCAGAAGATCTAGCTAAGATCATTGATTAATAAACAGATTTTTCATTAAGAGAGAACTGAGTCAGTAAAAAGGAAGACAGTTAAGATGCAAGAGAAAGGGAATAATATCTGGAGAAGGGCTCAGAGCAGAAGGGACCAAGATGACAAATGGGACAACAGATTTTCAATGCAGACAAAAGTCTTCTATTGGAAAAAGAAGACATCTAGGACTTTCTTGGTTAGAAAGAAGCCAATGCCTGGCTTTGAAGCTTCAAAGGGCATGCTGACTCTTTTGTTAGGGGCTAATGCTGTTGGCAACTTTAAGTTGAAGCCAATGCTCACTTAACATTCTGAAAATCCTTCTGCCTGTGCTCTATAAATGGAACGACAAAGCCTGGATGACAGCACATCTGTTTACAGCATGGGTTACTCAATAATCTGAATCTAATGTTGAGACCTACTGCTCAGAAACGATTCCTGTCAAAACATTAGTGCTCATTGACAATGCACCTGATCACCTAAGAACTCTGATGAACATACAAGATCAATGTTTTCATGCCTGATATGCAGCAACAACATCCATTCTGCAGCCCGTGGATCAATGAAGAATTTTGACTTTCCAATCTTATTACTTAAGAAATACATTTTGTAAGGCTATCATTGCCATAGATTGTGACTCTTATAGTGGATCTGGGCAAAGTAAACAGAAAACCTTTAGAAAAGATTCATGATTGTAGATGCCACTGAGAACATTCATGATTCACATGGGATCACCAACATAAACAGAAGCTTGAAAGGTAATTTTTTATTCCAACCCTTATGGATGACTGAGGGGTTCAAAACTTGAGAGTAGGAAGGAACTATACATGCAGCAGATCACAAGAGAACCAGGATTATAAGTAGAGCCTGGCAAGGCACGGTGGCTCAAAACTATAATTCCAACACTTTGGGAAGCCAAGGCAGAAGCATCGCTTAAGCCCAGAAGTTCATGACCAGCCTGGGCAACACAGAGTGACCCTGTCTCTACAATAAAAAAATAAACAAAAAAAGAAGTGAAGCCTGAAGATGTGACTGAATTGCCGCAGTTTCATAAAACTTGAAGGGACAAAGAGTTGCTTCTTATGGATGAGCAAAGAAAGTAGTTTCTTAAGATGGAATCTGCTCCTGGTAAAGATACTGTGAACCTTGTTGAAATGACAACAAAAGGATTTGGAGTATCACATAAACTTAGTTGACAAAGCAGTGGCAGGGTCTGAAGGGACTGACTCCTATTTTGAAAGAAGTTCTACTGTGGGTAGCTACCATTTCATGCTACAGAGAAATCTTTCATTAAAGGAAGAGTCAATCAATGAAGTAAACTTCACTACTGTCTTAAGAAATTGCCACAGCCAATCCAACCTTCAGTAACCACCACCCTGATCAGTCAGCAGCCATTAATGTGGAGGCAAGACCCTCCACCTGCCAAAAGCTTACAACTCATTGAAGGCTCAGATGATCATTAGCATTTTCTAGCAATAAAGTATTTTTAAAATAGGGTATATACATTTTTTAGACATAATGCTATTATTATACACTTAATAGATTGCAGCATAGTGTAAATATAATTTTTTTATGCACTGGGAAACCAAAAAAAGCATGTGACTCGCTTTATTGCAACATTCATTTACTGCACTGCTCTGGAACCAAACTCAAAATACCTCCAAGGTACATCTGTATGTGATAAATGGGGATCAACATCAGTGAGGATAGAAAAGAATACTCAACAAATGGCATTTGTACAATTAGAGACCTATTTGGAAATGAGTTCTTTACCTCACACTATAACCTGACATAAACTCCAGTAGATTAAAAATTTTATAAAAATAATTACACAGATAGTTGTGTAAATAAAGAGCATGAACTCAGACTACCTGGATTCAAGCGCCTGCCTGCCATGCTGTTCTAGCGCGTGACCAAGCACATAGTTATAAAGCACACCCCTCCATGAGTAGGATCTTTCCAGATGCTGAAGTTGCTTTTATATTCAAATCAAATCTCTTTTGAGTACTTCCCATACACATGACTGGACCATAGTACAACAGGAGTGATGAGTAAGTGTCCTTGCTCCCTAGGATTTGATAGTTCATTGGCAGAGGTCAGACACAAAGGCCACAGGCTGTGGGCTGGACAACAAGGGTCCACAAACATGTGGGTCCCTCAAGCTGATTTCACACCTAAACCTGCGGCAGCTCAATAGGCAGATATCCAGCCTGGGAACCGCCCTTTAAGCCATCATCCCAGTCCTCCTTCAGTCATTATCCTCCACTGTAATTACATAATAGTTGCAATTACAATAGGGTGAAAACATTTAAAGTAGGAGGGGGACAGCTTGAGGTGTATGGCAGTAACTGACAGGTGAGCGGGAACGGTAAGACTTTTGCTAAGTCCTCCTCTACCCCTAACACCCACCCGACTGCCCTCTGCACAACCTTTCCCTGGCCCAGCCCAGTGCAGCCTCAAATTCTTCCCCAGCTCCAGATTCAAAAGCAACTTCAACTTTTTTTGCTAACCAGCTACTCCAATGACAACACAATTACCCTAGGATAGAACTTACGCATTAACTGAATATCTGTTGCTCCTCTACCCTAGACCTGATACACACTGAATAACAAAACAGCACTGCAGAAAGACATAAATAATCATGTGCATAGGATAAAGCTAGTGTTTCCTCTACAGTGTTTCTTCCTTTCTACAATGGGAAGTAGCTGTCAGTCCTCTTCCAACTGAATACCTCTCATTCCATCTCTTACTCTCCCATGACATAACAACCCAGACCCTAAGGTCCTGTCTGCCCCTGAAGTCAAAGTCAATGCTAACCAAAGCCCAAGGTCGTACGTGCTTTGTCTGCCTTGTTCTGGTCACTGGGGTATCCTTAGCTGGGTCCAGCCAACAGCAGGTCCTCAATAAACTGTTGAATGAACAAATGGAGGAAGTGCGGGAGGGATGAAAAGGCTACTCGCACCAGTCTCCAACCAAGTCAATCTTCTGAGATGTTTTGCACACTTAAGAGAGTAATAAACTCAATTTATCACTATGAAGGAGTAATAAAATCTTTGGAGAGGAAACCCTCCAAAGACACAGATAAGCATGTAAAGCAAAGAGCACAGGAAGGCACCAGTAAACAAACACAGCAAGCTCAAAACTCGGGCAAGGAGGGAATCCCACCACCAGGCACGGTCACTTCCCCTCCCACTTCACAGATGCATGGTAGGAATATTTCCAGGTGTAGGCTCTGAGCGACATGGCTATTTTAGGTGGTAGGTGTGAGCCTTCCTAGCTGCCTCTCTGCTGGTGGGCCAAGGGCCTCTGGACATGCTGTGTCACTGACAAGCTCGCTGGGGACAGCGTCACCGCTGTCCCCTTGTCTGTGGGGGCCGAGGGGCTGCCCTGCTGTACCACCCCAGACAGGCAGTGAGTGGCGGAATGGGGAAAAGGCCCTGCCCTCCCGAGGGCTGACCTCCGGGGGGCTTTCCTGATGGCTGCGCTCACAACCGAAGACGACCCGCGTCTTCTGTTTACAGTTGGCGTCACATCCGATCTGCATCAGCTAACTTCAAGGCAGTTACAGTGCAGGTTCCACGGGAAAGAAAACCTAACACGAGGGCGGTTCACGCAGGCCGAGGGGCAGTGGCCGCGCCTGCTGGCCCCACGGGCCTGGCCCGCCCGCGGCGAGGACGCGGGGCCTCGGCCGGGGCGCACTGCCCGGTCCCTCGGCAGGGCCGCCGGGCCAGCCCCCGCCGTCCCCACACGCCCGCGGCCCACGGCCCCGCGCACGTTACCTGCGGACCCCAGCCCGGCCCGCGCGTCGGGGCCGCCGCCCTCCGCCATGGGTGCTCCGGCCCTCAGCCCGCCGCAGCCCACCGACCACCACTTCCGGCGCCGCGGGCAGGGGTCGCGTCGGGGGCGGGCTTCCGGGGCGCCGGGCCTGCGCTTCCGGTCTCGCCGCTCGGCCCGAGCGCGGACGGCGCCTGCGTCCGGCGGGGCTGGGGGGCGCAGGCTGCCTGCGCTGCTGTGTGTAGGAAGCAGCAGAAGGGGAAACGGCCCACCTCGGGCGGGGCCTAACGTGCCCGTCCCGGGAGTCCTGGTTGGTTGGGCCCCCGCGAGGGGGCGTGGCTTCCTGGCGTGGGGGCGGGGCCCCGTGTGGCCCGCTCGGGCTCCGGGGCCCGGGGTCCGCCGGGGCCGGGGTCCGCCGGGGCCGGCCGGGGTGCAGGGAGTCCGGTGCTCAGTACCCGCCCCCGAGCCCGGCCCGTCGCACCTGCTCTCGCCGCGGGCGCTACCGAAGGCCCGCCGCGGGCTGGGTCTCAGCACCGGGTGGTGCTGGGCGAATGCTCCCCAGGATTCCTCCCGTGAGACCACGAGTCACGCCTGTGTCTGCTTACGGCCCAGGGCCCGACTCAGAGCGTGTGGAATGAATGAAGTGAACAAGCGAGTAGCTTCTCCTGCACTCCCCCAGTTTCAAGTGCGGCACCGTTGTCACCCCTCGAGTTTCAGTTCTGGGTCCTAGGCGTGGACTCCCTGGGCTCCCGAGCTAGAGAAGGCTGCAGACAGGAGGGCTGCGTGAGAGAACTGAAGCCCCTCGGGTTTCAGAGGCGGAGAGTACAGGACACAGCAAGAGACTGAGGAGCCGGGGGCCCAGGCCCACGACAACTGTCCTTGTGTTGCAACCCACCAGACTGCAGTAGGGAAGCCACACACGTGGGGACCAGTAAGTCACAGGAGCAGCCTCTCAAATGCCCCTGAGCCCTGCGTGGCCCGGATACACTGGGTGGGACCACCTGGGTGTAGACCTGGCAGGGCCTGCACGGCTGTTTTTTCGTGGGGGAGGGAGTGGGGCGTTTCTTGCAGTGTTGCTTGGGCTTGATAACGGCAGAGAGCACCACCGGCACCAGGGACGGTGACGCCAATGATGCGGGAGCCAGGGTGTGCCCAGCCCACTGGCTGTCCGCCATGGCTGCACAGCGGGAACTCCTGGAGCTTCAAACCACTGAAGGCTGAGAACCACCCAGGTGTGGGTGGGTGGAAGGATGGATAAACAGAACGCGGTACATGCATGCGGTGGAATAGTATCCAGCCTCAGAAAGGAGGAAATGCTGACGCGTGCTGCACATGGATGGACTTTGAGGACAGTATGCTGAATGATAAGCCAGTCACAAAAAGACTACAGTGCTGTATGACTCGACTTATGTGAGGTCCCTAGAGTAGTCAAACTCATGGAGACAGGCAGTGGGGCGGTGGTTGCCAGGGGCTGGGAGAGAGGCATGGAGAGTTATTTAAGGGGGACAGAGTTTCATTTGGAGAAGATGAAAAAGTTTTGGAGATGGGTTGCACAACACTGTGAATTGTGAATTTATTTAACACCACTGAACTGTACACTTAAAAGGGTTAAAATGGTAAATTATATATTTTGTGTATTTTACCACAATTTTCAAAAAATGTAAAAAAAAAAAAAGAGAGATTCTGATGCAGTGGCTCTGGGGTGTGGCCTGAGCATCAGGGGTGTCCAGAGCTCCCCGGTGGTCCTAACAGGCGGCCGGGCTTCAGCACCACTGCCGATGCACCGCCTTTCCTGGTGCTGGGGGCCCAAAGTGAATGTCACGGACTGCCAGCAGCCTGACAAGGTATGAGACGGCCGGAGCAGAGCCTCACTCCCGGGCCTGCGACGCCACCTCCCCTGACTTGGGTCCCGTCTCTCTTGGAGGAGACTGTGAGGCACTGCTTGGTCCGTGGTGGGCGGGTGGTCTCACATCCCAGCCCCGCTCCTCCCAAATGCCTGCGCGGTGCACGGCAGTGTCCTCGAGCAGCAGTACTGGAAGGGGAAGGACGCTTTCTCGCTGCCCCACTCTGCCAACACCGTCGCCCCCATTTCTCAGGACTCTAAGGTGGGGGAGGCCCGGCGCCATGCCCGAGACCACACAGCCTGCAGGTGGCCGGGTCAGGACTCTCACGGGGACTGTCTGGCCCCACGGCCTATCTCTCCGTCAGGCCTCAGCCCTCCAGGGTCCCCCTTCCTCCAGGTCTTTTGAGCCCTTGAGACCCACAAACACAGGGACAGTCAGTCAGTGCTAGAGACAGGAATAACTAGGATCATGTCATCTACAACCAACAGGAAAGTGCCAGCGCCATCCCAGCCTGACAGACACAGGACCAGTGCCACCTCAGGCAAAGTGGGGTGCTGCCTCTGCCCCCCTCCATGTCCCAGTGGCTCCAGCACTTCCTCCCACCATAAGATTGCCCATCACCTCTTGTTGCCATCTGGTGGCCCAGCCCTCCCCCACTAGCTCATGTCCCCAAAAGAAAACATCCAGTGTCCCCAAATGACCCATCCTTGGAGTCTAGCCCAGTCTTCCTGGGGGATAACTTGGCAATCTATCTAAAGCACAAAACATTCATAACCCTTAATCAGAAATTTCTCTTTGAGGCATTTATTCAAAGGAAATAATCAGATGTGTGAGAGATTTAGCTACACAGGTGCTTGTATAGCATAATTTTTATAGCGGAAATGTCCAACAGTAGGCTTTCTGGTTCAGGAGGTCTGGGAAGGGGCCAGGACTCTCTATGATAATGGAGCCCCTGGTCCCTCAACTCCCCCTCAATGCAGGGAGCCAGGGCCCCCCCTGGAAACACAGCAGGCATGTGGGGGGCTAGAAGCCTGAGCCCTGCAGCTGCGCCCCGGTGATGACCCTGCCAGAGCTTGGGTGAACCTGCGCTGCTGCCAGCTCCAGCCCTGGCTCCAATTCCAAGTTCCAGGCAGGACTAGCACTAGGGACCTCCTGGTCCTGTACCCGTGGGCCTGTGTCTGGGGCACCTCCTCCAGCGGGCCTCAGCACTGCCTCCTCTTTCGAAGGCTCTCCTTTGCCACCTGCACCCCTTTCTGCAGGTTTATCAGGGGAGGCCACGAGACGAGGGCAGATTGCGGAGACTCTGGGCTTTGCCCTGTAAACATTCTCGCCAGCCCTTGCTCTGTAGACCCTGCCTGGCTCAAGACTCAGAGCCCGCCTACAGAGAGGCCAGGGGTCTGCCCCAGGGAAGGGAGGCAGATCCACTTCCTTCTGGCTGAGTCACCAGGACAAGGTGACTCCTCCAGGCATCAGTTCCCTCGATACAAAACGGGGCTGATAATTCCCACCGTGCAGGTTTCATAAAGACACAAGTTCCATACAAAGCGCCACATGCTTCCCAGTGCAGAGAGAGCCTCGGAACAAAGTGGGTGTCCGTGCCAGGGCTGCTAATGCTCATGACAGCCAGGCTTTGCAGATCAGGGGACAGTCCCCTCTCCTGCCCCCACCAGCTCAGTCCCAAACGGAGCCCACTTTCCTTCTCTGCCCAACTAGGAGCGGAGCAAGGCTGAGAGCCAGAGGCAGTGTCCCAACAGGGCCTCAGCCCCGGGCTGGCAAGGGAGGCGGGGTAGAAGGCCAGTGGTGTCTCTGTAGCCCTGGAAGCTCTGCATAAACACCCTCCCACAGCCAGGTCGGCCACCGCAGGGATGCGGCTTAGCCTGGCATTGAGGGACCCAGGGGACAACCAGGTAGCCCAGCAGCCAGAGACTGCTGAGGACGGTGTGGACCCTAGACCCATAACCCACTAGGCTGCCCTGGGAGCCCTGTCGAGTGGTGCCCTGTCGGAATGTCCCACGGGCGTTCTGCTGTCTCCCTGGTGTGACCGAGGACTCCACGGGCACTGGGAGGTCCCCTTTTCTGAGGACAGCCCCAACCACAGCCCTGACCTCGCTCCGTCCTCCAGCACCCGGGGTCTGCCTGGAACCGACCCTGCAGGGCCAGCACGCGCCCCAGGGCTGAGGCTCCCGCTCCCCACACCCCATCCCAGGACCTGCTCCTCCAGCACCCAGCAGCTGGGCCCGGCCCCCTCGGCTCCCCCACCCGCTCTAGGCCCTCCCTCATTATCTCTTCTCACCTGGACTTACAGCTGCAAGGGCCTGTCCTATCTCTCCTGCCAGACGCTTGGGTTCCCAGAAAGCTGCCTCCGCTCAGAAGGATATTTTGATTCTCTCTCAGGAAGCTGTCCAGGACTTGCTACTGAACCAACAGATAAAGTCATTCATCGGCCGAATTGACAAACTGTCCATCCAAGCACTGGGCCCGGAGGACAGGGACGAGCAAAGCTGGACACTGTCCCACAGAACTGCAGGCCAGTGGAGCAGCTGAATGTGGCTCCCAAGACAGAGAAGTCCCGGCCCAACCTCTGGATCCGTGAAGGGGCCCTTATTTGGAAAGAGGGTCTTTGCGGATGTAATTGAGTTGCGGGTCTCGGGATGAGCGCACCCCGGACTCGGGGCAGGCCCTAATTCAAGGACAGGTGTCTCTACAGGAGGAAGGCAAAGGGAGGATTTGAGAAGATGAAGTCCCTGTGGAGACAGAGGCAGAGGTTGGAGCCAGGGGACGTCTGGGGCCCCCAGAAGCTAGAGGAGGCAGGCAGGACCCTTCCCTAGAGCCGCCAGAGGGAGCACGGCCCTGCCGGCACCTCAATCCCTGACTTCTGGCCTCCAAACTGCGAGGCGACACATCTCTGTTGTCTGAAGCCTCGCAGTTTGTGGCAACTTGTTTCGGCAGCCTGGACGCTCGTACACTGGTAAGGACATGGAGTCACAGTCGCCGCTGCGGGCAGGGCCGTGCAGGGGAGCGTGGGCTGGGAGCCCCGTGGGTAAGGAGAGGTAGCTGCTCTTAGCTGAGTTACCCAAAAGCACATTGGCGCCTGTAATCCCAGCTACTTGGGAGGCTGGGGCGAGAGGATCGCATGAACCCAGGAGTTGGAGACCAGCCTGGGCAACTTAGTGAGACCCAGTCCCTTTCAAAAAAAAAAAAAAACCAAAACTTTGTTTGGGTAACACTTTCTTTGCAGAAATGGGAACGTCAGTGGAAATCGAGCCTGCTGCCTTATTCAGTT